GCTCCTCTCTGGGGAACCCTTGCAGGTGTTGTTGTAGCTGGCTTAGCACTGCTGGGGGCTTGAGGCAGTCCACAAGTTCTCCAGAGACTGTGCCTAGCAAAGCTGGTGACATGACTGCCAGCTGCAACAGGAAGGGAACTGTGGCCTGAAGAGAAGGCTCCCCATTTCTGTTCCCAGTACCCCCTGCTAAGCTATCATGGAACATACGCAACAGTTCCCGCCGAATGCTGTCTCCATGGCGGGAAGCCAGATGCCCTAGGATACCTACAACTGAGGCAATCTTGGGTACCCTTTTTTCCCCAGGGATGGCAGGAGATCCAGGGAAGGGGTCTGTAGAGGGGGTTTGAGAAGAGTTTCCACCACAAGCACCAGCTCCTCCTCCAGCCCCACTGTGGACACAGAAGTCCTTAAGGCCACAGGAGAGGACTCGAGAGATGATGGTGCCAGGAAAAGAGGAGCCAATATGGGCCACAACCCAGTCAAAGTGCGGGGAATGCTGGACAGAAGTGTCCAGCAAAGCATCCACACATGCATCTGGGCAGCTACCAATGAGAGCTGACAGGCACTGCACATAGATGTCCATTAATGTGCGGGTGGCCCTACAGCCCATCCACAGCTGCAGCAGTTCATTGAGAGAGCCAGTGGCATGGGGAACACGCTGATGCTGACCTGAATATGTGCTGCTCAGCTGTCCCATAAGGTCAATGGACCATGCGCTAATCACAGGTGCCCAGGCCTTTGGGTTGGCCCGGATAAACTCACACAGCACCTGCTGCACTTCATGCACCACATCCTCTAAGCCAGGTCCACCAGTAGGGACATGGGAGGGTGGAGGCGGACGGAGATGAGGTGGACCAGCCACAGGACTTTCCTCTAGAGCAGCTAGGTGGGCCCGGACACTTTCATCAAAAACACCTCTCAAGTGGTCCAGCACAGCAGCCCGAGCAGGTGGCAAAGAACGGAGCAGGAGAAGACCACATCGAGCATGTTCACGAGCTGAGAGCTGGTGACCCAGAATAGGGTCTACACCCGTCAGAAAAGCCTTGATTTCTTGGGACAGCTCCTGAGCACTATAAGGAAGCAAAAGAAGAGACTCAGAACACTGGGAGATGTTAGGCAAGCTATATTCTTTCCATGAGCTTTCTTTTTATGTATAATAGGGTAAAACATCCCGAATAAGAATTTATGAATGGGAGATGAGGGAGGCGACTACAATCAGAATGTAAAGTGAATAAATTAAGAGAGAATAGTACAGAAATAATAAATCCTTATTTTTCTGAAAAAAAAAATTTGAAAGTTCAGAAGCATACCTACTTCTGGTTCACCTTAGTCGTTCAGTAAATGCTGTTTCTCTTCAGCAACAACAATCACATCAACGTTATTTTAGCTTTCAAATATCCACTATCTTTTTTTCTTTTTCAGTACTAGATATCAAACACAGGGCTTTAGGCATGCTAGGCACTAAGCTACATTCCCAGCACCACTTTTAAGTACTTAAATAGTATTTTTTCAGTTCTGACAACAATATGATTAGACTATTATGATCCCATTTTACAGATAAAGAAATCAAAGTTAAGAAATCAGGTTGAGGGGGCTGGAGACATGGCTCAGGGGTTAAGAGCACTGCCTGCTCTTCCAGAAGTCCTGAGTTCAATTCCCAGCAACCACATTGTGGCTCACAGCCATCTATAATAAGGTCTAGTGTCTTCTTCTGACGTGCAGGTGTATATGCAGATAGAACATTGTATGCGTAATAAATAAATAAAATATAAAAAAAAAAAAAAATCAGGTTGAATGGTCCAAAAAGGCAGGAAACATTTCTACACCCTTAAAACACAGAATCCCATTCTATTGCAGCGCTGGTACAAGGTAAGTACTCAAAGAAAATTTGTTGAACTAAATATATTCTGAGATTCCATACCTGTTTTAATATCTTCCCAGCCCCCTCTACAGCACAAGCACCCTAGAATCTCTCAATAGACTGGAAATTGTAAGCCCTTAACTAATAAAGTTCTCCCTCCCAAAAGTGGTGCCTGCCTTTTCATATTGTACAAGTATTCAATTCGGCCAGGCCCAGGAATGGTGGTGCACACCTTTAATCCCAGCACTCAGGGAGGCAGAGGCAGGGGGGATTGCTGTGAATTCAGGCCAGCCAAGGCTACATAGAGAAACTCTGTCTCAAAAAACCAAAAAGAATTCCACCAGAATTGGTACAGGCTTTTAATTCCAACAAACAGATCTGAGTTCAAGGCCAACCTACTTTACATAATGAGTTCCAGGATAGCTATATCTCTCCATAGGGAGACCCTGTCTCAAAAAAATAAAAAAGAAAAGCCAGGCAGTGGTGGCATACACCTTTAATCCCAGCACTTGGGAGGCAGAGGTAGGCAGATCTCTGAGTTTGAGATCAGCCTGGTCTACAGACGGCCAAAAGTACACAGAGAAACCCTATCTCGGAAAAACAGATAGAGTCCTAGCCATGAACTAACTGAATTGACCACCTTCAATGTACCGAGAATCGAGGGGAAATCCCAGGGCACAGATGAATAAGCCTTTCAATTCTTCCCCTCCCCAAATACATAAGGTCTGCCTTAGAGGTTCAGAAGGCAATGTTGAGGAAGTAAAACCCCTTTCCTCTTACTGACTTTTCTGTCAAAGACAACAGCGTTCTCTGGGCTGATAAGGTTCTGTGCCATCCCTCTGGTTCAAAAACAAAAGGGCACCTCAAAACGAGGAAGGTGTGCAAAGGAAAGACTGGCACATATATTGAGACTTCGAGCCTTGGTTCCCAAGACACTCTCCATGTAGTGAGAGCCTCCTCAGAGTACTAGAGGCAGAGAGGCTGGGTTCTCAAGAGTCCTGATGTCCCCAACTGCTGGCAAAGCAAGGCCGGCGAAGGAGACATTGAGATCTCGAGAACCAAGGGCAGGGCAGGGCAGGCAGTGCAGCCCAGAGTTTTTAGTGAGGCGGTCCCTGAGTTCCGGGAGGACGCGACCAGAATCTCTGAGAACCCTGACGCGGGTTCTCAAGGTAGGATCCGGTTTTCTGTGGAGAAGGCTGGGCACCCGCGCGGAGCCGCGCGAAGAGGGGGGGTACGAGGGGCTCTGACTACCTGAGAGGCGCGGGACCGTGGGTGGCGGGGGCAGGCCCGGGTGGCCCAGGGGCCCCGGGAGGGTCGCACAACGCGGACATCCCGGAGCCCTACCCGGAGCCTGAGGCGGGAGCGGCGAAGCACAGGCGACGCATGCGCGCTGACTGGAAACGCGACAGAAACCAGCGACCCCGCCTCTCAGGAAAATCAGTCCGGCCAAGTACGAAGCCCTAGTACTTTGGTTCCGGGTCGCATCGGTCACAGCGATAACTTGCTTGCCATCCTCACAAATTTCTCCCCCACCTCAACCCCCAAGGGCCTTATCCACACATGAAAGCTACCTGGGATTTTCATTTACAATGCGATCTAATTATTTTTCCTAACAGTCTTAAACGTGTAACTCATGAGCTTTTAAGAAACAAGCATAGATCTGACCTTTCTGACTCACATCTTTAATCCCAGCACTGGAGGCCAACCTGATCTGCAAACCAAGATCCAGACCAGACAGGGTTACATGATGAAACTCTGACCTCCAGGGCAGAACAGACAGGGCTAAAGACTGTCCCAAAAAACAAAACTAACAAACAAACAATACACATTGATTCACCAAACTGGACTTAGGCGGGATCATTATTTTGCTTGTCAGTATGGGATAAACAGGCATTTCTCTGTCTTTGCCAGGATGTCATGATATATTTATACTCCAAGGGTATGGTTATATGGTTAATGAACTGACTATGAATGTAAGAAACATCTGGTAAATGTTATATATTTTTAAGATTTGTTTTTATTTATTTATAACTTTATTTTGGTCGCCCCCCTTCTTTCTTTCTTTCTTTCTTTCCTTTCTCTCTGAGGCAGGGTTTCTTTGTATAGCCCTAGTTGCCCTGAACTCACTCTGTAGACCAGGCTGGCCTTGAACTCAGAGATCTGCCTGGCTCTGCCTCCACTTCCCCAGTGCTGGAAGTAATGGACTACACCAGCAAGGCCCAGCTTATTTTTAATCATTTTAAAATTGCATATATATATATATATATATACATATATATATATATATATACATATATATATATATATATGCATGCCTGAGTGTGTATACATGCACATGAGTGCAGGTGCCCTCAGAGCTTAGAAGAGGGCATCAGACGCCTAGAGCTGGAGTTACTGGTGGTTGGGAGCTACATGACATTTATATAAAAGTTGTCTGGAGGTGGAGAGATGACTCAGTGGTTAAGAGCACTTGCTGCTCTTGCAGAAGACTGGGGTTAAATTCCCAGCATACACATGGCACCTGGTTCACAACTGTAATTCCAGTGTCAGAGGATCTGATGCCTGAATAGGTCTCTGTGGACATATGGTGCACATACATCCATGCAGGCCAAATATTTATACCCATAAAGTAAACATAGAAAGAAAAAAAATAAAAGTTTAAGGCCAGTAGTGCCACACCCCTTTAATCCCAGCACTAGGGAGATAGAGACAGAGGCAGACAGTTTCAGGCCAGCCTGGTCTACAGAGGAAATTCCACAACCAATGCTCAAAAGAAAAAAGAAAAAAAATTCTGTCGGGCTGGAGAGATAGATCAGTGATTAAGAACACTTGGTATTCTTTCAGGAAGCATAAGTTCCATTTCTAGGACCTACATGGCAGCTTACCACTATGTATAACTCCAGTTCCAGGGAATCCAACAGCCTTTTCTGGCCTTTGCAGACACCAAGTATGCACAATGCAGGCAAGTGTATACACACACTCATGTAAGCAAAAGACTCAAACATAAGGCTGTCATCAGGCACAGTGGTACATACCTGTAGTTGTAGTCAGGGCAGAGGCAGGTGGACCTCTGGGGTGGGGAGGGATAAAGTTGTCTATTACTGATATTTAGTTGAAAAGAAATGGAAAATTAAAGGAATGCTGCAGACCCATGTCTAATTTATTTTTAAATGTTTTGTTTTTACATTTACAGTGTGTATGGGGGTACATGCTTGCCACAAGTGTGGAGGCTAGAGGACAACTCTGGAGAGTCAGCTCTCCTTCCATGATTAGGGTCACAGGTTTGGAACTCAGCTTGTTGAGCTTGTGTCAAGCACCGTTACCCTCTACCATCAGCCTCCCTCTATTCATTTAGATGTTTGCAATGGTAAAAGCAAGTCTCACACTCATAATCCTAGCACTGTGGAGGCTGATGCAGAAGAATCAAATGTTCAAACCAAGTCTGGGCCACATAAGGAAGACCTTGTCTTCAAAAACACACTGAAGTCCTTAGAACTAACTGGATTCTCACAGCATAAGTGCTGGTAGGAAAGTGCAGGTGCTCAGGATGTAGATGGCACAATGGTTGCCTAGAATGCATGATGCCCTAGGTTTGAATCCCAGAAACACCTCCATCACCACCACCACCAAAAAAAAAAAAAGAAAAAAAAGAAAGTGTGTCCTTAATATAATCCTAGATCACACAAGCAGAGTGTCAGGACTGATATCAAGATCATTACCTCCCACCTGCCATTTTTATAACCTGTATTTTTCAGAAATGCAAAGGTGGGAGTGTTGCTGTCTAGAAAGATGGGGCCACTGAAGAAGCTACCTAGTTTCTTTTTGAGATATTATGAAGCCCTGGCTGTCCTGGAACTCAATGTGTAGACCAAGAAGGCCTTGAAGAGAGATCTGCCTGACTCTGCCTCCCAAGTACTGAGATTAAAGGCATGTGCCACCATGCCCTTCACTACACCTGGCTTCTTATTGCCTTTGCTCAAGCACACAATGTATCCTGCCTCTGAAATGTCCCTACGCACACTCAAAGGCCTTTTTATATGGTCCATCCCCATTCTTGCACTTAATCACACATATTAGTTAAAGCGCTAGAGCTTTATTACAAAAGGAGTTGACTGCTAGAGAGAGCCCTCTCCAGTCTTTCTCTGTGTCCTCCACATATACACCTCCAGGGGAGGTCAGAGGGCCATTATAGAAGAGGTGTCTGAGAGAATAAAATATGGTAATATTTTTTCCAAAGTCCTCCAAATGCTCCTGGCTGCTGTTGAGAATCTTCTGGTAGGAGAGGTAGGAACTTTAACTCTCATCTCCAAGGTCCTCCATATCTACATCCTGGGGCGTTTTCATCTTCTTCTGTCGTCGTTTGTGCTGTGGCTCACTAGTCCTGGGTGACTTGGAGGGGGCTTCCACTGAACAAAGAGAAAGAAAAAAAGGAAGCATTAAAGAACCCAGGCAAAATCCAGACTTCCTTTCGTGGAACCTCTGTGCCCCAGACTTTACCTTCCATGGCTGCTTTTTCTTTCTGGGCAAGGCGGATCTGCTGCAGGAGTTTCCTGCGCTTCTTCCCAGATAGTGTGATGTTGGCACGTGCACTGGACCTGAGGGACAGGTAGGGACAATAATATCCAGGTTAATCTGTATAAATCTAAGCCAAAAAAGTGATCCCAGCTAAGTAAAAGGTGTTTGTCTTTTGGGGTTTGTGTGTTTGAGAAAAGGCCTCACTCTGTACTTAGCCCAGGCTGGCTCACAGGCAACCTGTCTGTCTCAGCTTCCTGGGCAATGGGATTAAAGGCAGAAAGCATCATGCCCAGTTTTATAGTCTCTGGATTCAAATTACAGAATGGGCTCTAATACCCTCAATGAACTCTTGACACTTAAGACTTTTTAAAAGTTCACTTGAGGTTTGGAGAGCTGGCTCAGAGGTTAAGAACACTCACTGTTCTTTCAAAGGTCCTGAGTTTAATTCCCAGCAACCACATGGTGGCTCATAAGCATCTATAGTAAGATCTGGTGTACAGGCAGAATGTTGTATAAATAATAAATAAAACTTAAAAAAAAAAGTTCAGTTGATTTCAAGATGTACCTCAATAGTATTAAGCCAAGAACGTAGTTGGATGCACTTACATGTGCACTTTTACTTCAAAAACCTAAGCTAATGAAGATAACCATTTGTAGGGTAGAAGGGTTGACAACCTTCCTTGGTTTCTTAGTGGAATCCACACCTGAAAAGCCCCGAGAGCGACGCTATTGTGAGAAGTTGACACTTTGGGAACACAACTGTCAACTAGTTTCTACATAAACGTGGGAAAAGAGAGAAAAGCGGAGAAATTTGGGCGGCTCTGAGGCTTGGCAGGAGGGAGTAGGAATGACCAATCGGAGGGAGCTAGTACTCACGCCCGCTTCTTGAGGTGGTGCCTCGTAGTCAGCCCTGCATCTATCACGGCCCCGACCACCTGGCGCTTTCGTCGCCGATCCCTGCTCAGCACCCTCCGGCGCTTGAATAACTTCTTCTTCAGCTCCTGCAAGGGAAAAAGACGCGCATCAGAGTAAGGTTGTGCACGCCCACACGGATCCTCCACATCCGAGGATCCCAGTCCCCCACTGATCCTGTCTCGGGAGAGGGCAACGCCGGGAAGCCTGGGGAAACAAAGGCACAGATGCCGCAGTCACCGTGCGGGGTCGATTGATCTTTCCTCCCGGAGGTCCCATAGCCGCTCTAGAAGACTCGCTCCCGGTACCGCACTTCCGCTCCACTCGCAGGTTCCGCCATGCGCAAAAGGCCCCACCCGCTGGCGGCCACAGACCAATCGCGTGCCGGAGGCGGGTTCTAGGCCTATATAAAGGAGTTCCGCGCTCTTACGGGTCTTTCGAAAGGTGGCTTTCGGGTAAGTTGTGGGGCCTATGTGCGTGTGCGCTTGGGGCTGGTGTGGTCTAGGCCTGACCGTGTAGACCCTCCATTTCTTGGCGGGGACCGGGCGTGCGGTCCCGCTCCCCGTTATGTGCGGAGGTAGAAAGAAAGGGTTCCGGCCCTCTCGGCGTCATGTCTTCGGTGCCTGCGGCGTCTTGTTCGCAGGTTCTATCCTCAATCGCCGGGACACCGTTCTGGGTGGAGAAATGCAGCCAAGTGCGGCAGTCCCCGTTACAAAAGACTCAAACGCTTTTTTATTTTCATTTCAGGTCTGTGGATGACGGCCCCGAATAGTAGTTACGTTGCCTTTGCTATTTCTTGTTGAACCAATAAAGTCTGAACCGTAAAAGCCTTGGGTACGCTTCCTTTTTCCGCGACTCGAAATTGGCAGATCTTTAGGACTTTATAGTCACTAAGGATTTCTAGTCGGTCTTGTGGGTGCTTTTGATGGTTAGCCAACATGGAATGCACCAAAATGTCGACCCGGGGTTGGGGAGCACAAACGGATGCCCAGAATCTGAGAGCCCTAGCATCTGTTAGAATCCTAGAATACTGTTGCGAAGGGTGGTTTGCCTAAGGATCCCAGGACCGCTGATGACCCTGATGTTCAACTGTTCTGCTTGGAATAAAAAATCTAAAGTATGCACTGTGAGTAGTCAGGCCTTGACAGGCTTTCTCTGTAGCCTTGTGAACTAAGCTGCTCTCCACCTCCCCAGTGCAGGGCACTACCACACCCAGTGGGGTCCAGCTCTTTAAGGGCATTGTCAACTGCTTATTATCTAAAAGATTTAAATAACGGTGGAGCTTTGCCATAGTGGTGTGATTACTTAGTTGAGAATGGAGAGGTGTGCAAATTTGTGCATGCACAAGGGTGTGTTGGGGTGAGAGACAGACATTAGGGCTCAGTCCAACTGTAGCACTGAATTGTGTGGCCTAGAAAGTGGGCAAAGGGATTTTGAAAACAGTAACGAAGGTGAAAAGGAGAAAAATACTTACCACCAAAGGTGCTGGGGGGTGGGAAATGGGAATATTCCACAGTTCCGATTCTGTAGATGCAGGACCCTGTTGGGTCCCAAAGAGGACAGGGGTTGAGAGTTTCCTGACCCTCTGTGGCCTCAGGAATCCAGGGGGCGTCCTCCTCATCCTGTTCGTGCCCCCAGCCAAGTCCAGGATTAAAAGTCCTTAGAGGAGATGTGTCCTGTGGGATCCAGGCCCAACCTGGGAAAGGGTTACCCCATGAATGTCAAATATACTTGATAAAAACTGTATTTAAGCTTTAATGTGTATATAATACAACATATAATTGCTATATGCGTGCCTGCAGCATGGAGAGATCAGAAGAAATCTGATTGCTACGAGAGGAGTTATAGATTATAAACTGCCACATCATTGCTGGGAACCAACCAGGTCCTCTGAAAAAGTAGCAAGTAATAGAACTGCTGAGCCTCATTATTTTTCTGTGCCTTTTTTGTTGTTAGAGACGGTTTCTTGGTGTAGCCTTGACTGTCCTGTAATCAAGGCTGGCCTTGAACTCAGATCCTCCAGCTTCTGCTTCTACCACCCAGCTACAAATACATTTTAAAAAAGAAAAAAAATTTTAAGGTATGCAGGTAAGGGCAGTGGTTGGCCACCTGAGTTTAGTCCCCAGAACCCACAAGGTGGAAGGAGAGAACAGGCTCCCACAAGTTGTCCACTGACCTACAGTGTGGTACAGGAGCACCCATATTCACAAGCAAATAAAAAACACTATTTTCAGGTTCTTGAGATATGTCCTTGCTATGTAGGCCAGGCTGCCCTGGGACTCAGAGAAATCTGCCTGCCTCTGTCTCTCTAGTCCCTGGATTAAAAGTGTGTGCTACCACAAACTATGCTTTAAAAAAAAATAAAGATGGTTTCTCTGTGTAGTCCTGGTTGTCCTGAAACTTACTCTATAGACCAGGTTGGCCTCCAACTCAGAGACTGCTTCATTGGTGCTGAGATTAAAGTGCAACACCAAAACCTGGCTCTCTAAACCACACAAAGTGCAGAGCCTGGAACTAAGGCTTGTAATAACCTCAGATACTCAAAAGGCTGAAGCAAAGGGATTATCATGAGTTCAAGGCCAGCCTGGGTGACACAGTGAGCTGCTGGTCAGGGTGAGCCTGTCTCAAACAAATTTAAAAGAATTGGGGATATGGTGCAGCAGTCCAGTCCTCTTCTAGGTTCGCTCTTCAGCGCCTAAATAAAGGAACAAGCACACAAAAAAGCTAGCCACCAGCTTGTAATCCCACAGTTTGGCTGAAGCAGAAAGATCTTCAGTTCAAGGCCAGTTTGGACTGTGTAGAAACACTTCTTTGAAAAAAAAAAAACAACCTAAGCTGTCTAATACTCATCTATGGTATCAATTGCCTAGACTTCTCTTACTGTGTATGTGTGTGTATGTGTATGTATGTCTGTGTACTGGGATTGGAACTCAGGTTTTTGTGCATGATATTATGTTCTTTAGCTCTAAGCCACACCATACCTGTTACATTCCCAGACACCTACTGTGGCTCTAAAATAATTAGATGGCAATGAATGAATAAGCCACCACCCTCACCTGGCTCTTCACTTTGATCCTGGAAGAAGGCTTCTGCTTCCTCTTCTTCACCATCAGTGAGCAGCAGCAACTCGTCATGTGGCCACTGGTGGTCCTCCTGGTCCTCCTCATCCCCCTCTGAGGCCTCTACCACAATAGAGGGCAGGCGGGGCTTTTGAGACACCTGCATAAGTACAGCAGGGATGTTGGGCCCAATTCTAGGATGAACCAGCCCCAGGACAGAGGGAATAGTAGTACTCACCTGAGCATCCTCATGACCTTCAAGTCTGCCAATCTCTTCTCTGTTTTTTGAGAGAGGATTGGCTAACCGGGGATTTTCTGAAAGCCATGAAGAATCTGGGCTATCTCCAGACCAAGGTTCATCCTTGCTATTCCCTGGCACAAAGGCCATGATAGTGACTCTTAAGAGTGCAAAATGGTTGGGTTCCAGGTCAAGTAACCCTGCCCAGTGCCCACACAGACTGTACTTTAATCTTATTTGGAGAGGGCCCCTTAATCACTGCTGAGGAAAGGAAGATGACATGCTGAGAGATTATGGGCCTTCCCTGGGAGGGGAGAAGCCAAAGAGGAGAGACAGGAGCTTTATTCTGTTTACCCTGAGACACTGGATGGCAATCAAGGTAGGAGACAAGGGCACGTGGATTAAAGCCCTATAAATAAAGAGCTGTGATGATGGATTTTCTAACTCCTTGTTTACTGGTTTTCTCAAGTGTTTTTTTGTTTGTTTTTGTTTTTAAAATATATGTAACTTTCACTGGCTTTTTCCCTGCATGTATGTCTCTGTGAGGATGTCAGAAGTGCTGGAACTAGAGTTACAGAGCTGCCATGTGGGTGCTAGGAATTGAACCCAGGTCTTCTGGAAAAGCAGCCAGTGCTCTCAAACACTGACCATTCCCTGGCTTGTTTATTTGTGTGCTATTTAATAAATACTTATGTGGCTTAGAAACTCATATATATATATATATATATATATATATATATATATATATATATATATAAATTTATGTATTTCATGGGTACGGGTATTTTGCCCCCATGTACGTCTTCTGCCAGGGAGGCCAGAAGAGGACATCATATCTCTTAGGACAGGAGTCACAGATGGTTGTGAGGCACTATGTGGGTGCTGAAATGCAAACCAGGTCCTCTTGATAAGCAGCCAGTGCATTTTTAATTTTTTTTTGAACCAGGGTTTCTCTGTGTAGCCTTAACTGTTCTTGACTCTCTTTGTAGACTAGACTGGCCTCAAACTCATAGAGATCTGCCTGCCTCTGCCTCCGAGTGCTGGAAATTACAGCCGTGTGCCAATGTGCCAGGCTGTGCAGCCAGTGAGCTTAACCAATCTCTTGTAGCATGCAAAGAATTCTTTGTTTGTTTGGTGCTTTTCTTTTCTCTTTTTCCTATCTTTCTTTCCTTCCTTCCTCCTTCCTTTCTTCCTTCCTTCCTTCCTTCTTTCTTTATGTTAGTTTTAAAGACAGGGTTTCATTAGGTACCACTGGCTGTCCTGTAACTCACTCTGTACTCTGGCTTGACCTCAGAGATTTCCCTGCCTCTGCTTCCCAAGTGCTGGGATTAAAGGTGTGTACCACTACCACCATGCATATCAGCTGGACTCTTTAAAATATTCTGTATATCAACAAGGTGTTGGTGCACCTTCAATCACAGCACTAGGGAGGCAGAGTTTGAGTTTGAGGCCAGCCTGGTTTATAGAGTGAGTTGCCGAACAACTAGGACTACAAAACAAACTACATATATACTCAACCATCATTAAACTACAAGACATTTATTGTTATAAATGACATTTTTAGACCCATGAGATGGGTCAGCAGGTAGATGAAATTTCATGGAAGCAAAGCCTGAAGACTGGACTTTCATCTCTATAACTTACATAATATAAGGAGATGTTTTATTTTTCTTAAAAAGAATTTTTTTTTTTTTGAGACAGGGTTTCTCCATAAAACTCTGGCTGTCGTGGAAATCTCTCTGTAGACCAGGCTGGCCTCCTTCCTTCTCCTAAGTATAATTTGGCAGTATTTAAATAATATTCTTTATAATATATTATTTATAGTATTTAATATTATTTCCCATAATATTATGGTATACCACAGCTTTTGTAATTTAAAAACAAAACAAGATCCACCAATGCAAAGTATACTATCAGAAGGAAAAGCAACACTTAAAAAAAGAAACAAACCAGCTGAAGAGATGGCTCAGCGGGTAAGTGCACTGTCTGCTTTTTCAGAGGTCCTGAGTTCAATTCCCAGCAACCACATGGTGGCTCACAACCATCTATATCCTCTACCGTCCTCTTCACACGAAAATAGAGCATTCATATATATAAAATAAATAAACAAAATCTCAAAAACAAACAAAGCCAACCATGATAGCACATGCCTTTAGTCCCAGCTCTCAGGAGGCAGAGGCAGAAATAGCTCTGAGTTCAAGGCCAACCTGGTCTACATAGCAAGTTCCCAGCCAGCCAGTTACATAGTAAAACCCAGGGTTACATGGTGAGACTCTACATTTAAAAAAATTAGAAAGCCAATTAGACTGGAGCTGTCCTTCAGTGTCCTTCAGTCCTAGAGTGACAAAAGTTCTGACATCCATCTGTGGGATTGAAGGGGAAAAATATAATTTTGTGGGAAAGGTAGTACAGGCCTGTAACCACAGGTAGTATAGAGATGAAGGGGGCAAATCAGGGATCAAGGATTGCTTAGATTACAGAGCATGCTCAAAAAACAGTGCAGACAATTAAGACCCTGGATGATGATGATGATGATGATGCCAGGAATGCTAGCACATGCCTTTAACTCCAGCACTCAAGAAGCACAGGTAGGCAGAACTCTGGGACTTCAAGGCTAGGCTGGTCTACACAGAAAGATCCAGGCCAGTCAGCACTACAAAGTGAAACTCTACAAGCCCTTTCTCAAACAAACAAACAAAAAACAAAACTAAAACTAACCGAAGAAAAACAAAACAAACAGAGGAACCAGCCAGTGGGTTGTGGTGGCCCACCCCTTTAATCCCAGCACTCAGGAGGCAGAGGCAGGCAGATCTCTGTGAGTTCTAGGCCAACTCTGTCTAAAATCTAGTCTACAAAGAGTCCCAGTGGTAGTGTAGTCCGCCAAGGAGGCGGTTCATGAAGTGCTGGTAATGGTTGTGGTGCCAGGCACGGGTGCTGGCATGGGCTCCAAGCCAAGATTATGCAGAGTAACCCTGACTTAAAAAACCGAAAACAAACAAACAAGCCCTAACAGAGGAACCAAGACCAGGCTGGCCTTCAGGTCAGATATCTGCCTGGCTGTGCTTCCCAAGTGCTAGGATTAAAGGTACCTCCCACCTCCCAGAAAAAAGCAAAACAAAACTGGCAATTCTAACGTACATAGCAACCATGTAGTTTTTCATGGCAATGGTCCTTGGCAGTTTTTTTTTTTTGTTTAATGTACATTGATGTTTTACTTGCACATTGTTTGAGGGTGTTGGATCCCCTGAAACTTGAGTTGCAGACAGTTGTGAGCTGCCTTGTGAGTGCTGGGAATTGAACCAGGGTTCTTTGGAGTGCAGCCTATGCTCTTAACGTCTGAGCCATCTCTCCAGCCCCAGTAATTTTTTTTGTTTTCAAGACATGGTTTCCAGTCTTCCTGTTATGGACTCGCTGGCCTCGAACTCCCATAGATCCGCCTGCTTCTGCCTCCCCGAGTGCTGGGATTACAGGCGTGCGCCACCGCGCTCGGCTCCAACCAATTTGTTGTTGTTGTTTGTTTTAAGTTTCATTATTTTCTGTGTACGAGTGTTTTACCAGCATGCCCGTCAGGAGCCTAAAATGTTTCAGGGACTAACCCTCTCTAGCCAGGTTGTTTCTCTATGGTTTCAGGCCCGGCCCCTTCCGCCCGCAGAGGGAACGGTGAGAGATCCTGGTTTCCTTCTAGGCTGCAGGAGGACGCGGGCGGCGCCTCGTTGGTAGTGTCGTCCGCCATGGGGACGGTTCGTAAAGCGCTGTTAACGGTTGCGGTGCTAGGCGCTGGTGCTGGCATAGGCTCCATTCTGTTTGCTCTTGTGGCTCCAGGAGAAGTAAAGAAGCAGTCGATGCTGCAGGTAGAAACACCGGGCTCCTCGAGGTGGGTGTGCGTGGGGAGAGATCCTGTCTGTCTTCAGACCCAGGCAGCAAACATCCCTTTTGCCCGTAGGAGTTCCCGGAACGGGACCCGCAGCGCAGGGACGAAGCGTTCAGGACCAAGGAACTAGTGATGGCTACCCTGAAGGATGCCGCAGCCACGAACGAGAACATGACCTGGAGGAAGAACTGGATGGTTAGCGGCGGCGGCAGGTCAGCGTGACACCAGAGCTTGCCAGTGGGTGCGGGGACCTTTGCGGTGCTTTTCTTCGTGCGCCGGGCGTGAAGTCCGGATTCAGGAGACACACTATGACTCTACCAGGCATAGGGAGCTGCGGACTCGAGAGTCGGATGTGTGGAACCAAAGGAACTAATGAATCCAGTTTATCGGTTAAGTGGATTCCGAAGCTGGACATCTAGAGAGCCGTGAGGGTCGGCGCGGTGGGCGTGCAAGACCGAAGCAGCTGCAAGCCACTCCTAGAGAGTTCTAAGTCCAATAGGTTTTCTGACTATTCAAAACAGGTCACGTGAACTAAGCTTGCTTCTGCAACGGCGGTAAAAGACTTTTCTAAAGTCTGTTTTTGTGTGTCCCTGGGTGTGTTGTGTGAATGAAAAGTGCGGGCGCGCCTTGTGTGTGGAAGTCACCGAACAGCTTGAGAACTGTCCTTTAAGCAAAGTTGCAGAGGGGTCCCTTGACTGTTTCAGTGCCTCCTCTAGTTACTATTTAACTTTAGTTAAAGGCTCTTAAGAGAAGCTGGCTGACTAGTACTGGGATTGCTTTGTCAGTCCAGACCATTATTATTATTATTATTATTTTTCATGGAAAATGTTAGCATTTAATTAACTTCCTGGCTGGTTTAATTCAATAGGACACAGGCACCTCCAACACCTTTAATTTTCTCTTCAGCTCTTCTGCTGAAGAATTTGGCCTTCACCATGACAGGCTGCTCTTAGGGAGCTTGCCCTTCTCGAGAACTTTGTAGTAGCCCGATTGCAGCAAAGCAACAATGATGGGAGCAGCCCCAGTCTTGTTTTGACCCGTGAATCCAACCATTCTCAAGCATAGCATGCCACACACCTGTAATCCCAGTACTCGTGGTGAGGTGAGCGATAGCAATTTCCGCCTGGGGGTGGCAGCACACTCCTTTAATCACAACACCTGGAGGCAGACCGAGGCAGGTGAGCTCAAGGTCAGCCTGGTCTATAAAGGGAGTTCAAGGACAGCCAAGGCTACACAGTGAAACCCTACCTTGGAGGGGGGCGGTCATGACTTTCTTGAGACAGCTGCTGAAAAATGAAAAAAATAAAAATAAAAAAAAAAATGGAGCAGTGCAGGGTGATTTCTGCCTGAGTCTCAGCATTTGGGAGTCAGAGTCAGAATTTTAACATGTTCAAAGCCAGCCATGACTATACAATGTGTTTTAGGCTGTCCTGGAGTAGAGTTGAGATCCTGCCACAAAATTCCCACCATCCCCTCAAAGCTCAGGCTCTCACTACATATAGGCTGTTGAAGTGGCTGTGGGTAAGGAAACTTTGAGCTAAGCCTGAGGACCTAAATCCAATCCCTGGAACCTACATGGTGAAAGGAGAGAACTGACTTCTGTTTCTTCTGACCTCCACAGGCATACATAGTGGGTCCTCGCCCCGAGGTTTTCACTGTAATATTATGCTCTCAGTCCCTGAATCCATTTATATTCTTGGAAATGTCACCGAGAGCATGAATAATGGACACAGGCATGGTGGCATACAAAACTCAAGCAAACAAAGAAAGCCATTGAGTTGGAACTGCATAGAGGTCAAGCAGGCCACAAATCCTTTTTTTTGTTGTTGTTGTTTTGTTTCTGTTTCTTTTGCTAAGGATTAAGCCCCAGCACCTTGGCATGTTAATAAATGTTACCTATGGCTGAGCTCCACCTCTAGCTCACATACATATATGTGTGTGTGTGCAAGTTTAAAACACATACTTTTCACTGGGGAAGGTTCTTTTTTTGTGTGTCTGGGTAGCCCAGGCCAGCTTTAAACTTGAGGTGTCATCCCATTTCAGCTTCTCAAATGCTAGGATGGGCTTGTGCTTCATTTGTCTATTTTGTAGTCTACTTGTAATTTCCTACAATTGCAGCAGAAAAAAATGTTCGAGACAGAACTCACCTGGTTGGATGTTCAACTAATACCCAAAATTGAAAATCTGATTGCCCAGAACAAAGAAACTGTATGCTTAGCCTGACTGTCTTGGTACACGCCTTTAAATCCTAGCACTTGGGAGGCAGAGGCTGGTGGATCTCTGTGAGTTCAAGGCCAGCCTGGTCACAAATCCAGAATAGTTTATAATCCCAGCATTAGGGAAAAAGCAACAGGCCACCAGTAGGGCCCACCAAGGTGGCAAACACCTTTAATCTTAGCATTTGGGAGGCAGAGGCCTAGTCTCCATAGCAAGTTCCAGGATAGCCAGGGTTATATAGTGAGACCCTGTCTTGAAAAAAAAGAAAGAAGAAAAGAAAAGAAAGGGGCTAGAGAGATGGCTCAGGGGTTAAGAGCACTGGCTTCCAGAGGTCCTGAGTTCAATTCCCAGCAACTACATGGTAACTCATAACCATTTATAATGAGAATGGATGCTGTCTTCTGGTATGCAGGTATACATGCAGACAGAACATTGTATACATAATAAATAGATCTTAAAAAAAAGAAAAGAAAAGAAAAATAAGTTCAAGATGGTATTTGGCTGCATAGCAGGTCCAAAGTCAGTTTGGGATACGAGTCTGTCTCATAAAACTTAAAGTTGGGGATACAAAGTAAATAAAGTATAATTAAAAATTTTAAAAAATGGGAAAAAAAAAAACCTTAAAAGTTATTGCAGACATAGAGGCACGTGCCTTTAAATCTCAGCACTCAGAAGGCAGAGGCAGGCAAATCTCTGAGTTTGATGCCAGCTGGTCTATAAAGTGAGTCCAGGACAGCCAGAACTACACAGAGAAACCCTGTCTCGAAAAGCACACACACACAAAACAAAACTCTAAATTCAGCTACTAAGGAAACAACTGTAAGAATGTGTGTTTATGGCCACATACAGTCTTTATTGGCTGGGAGTGTGTGCATGGAGAAAATCCCAAGGAGAGGATAGTGAATGGGGCAGGAGGGTAGGGATTGGTCCCTGACAAAAGTAAAATAAAGGAGGATGAAGTGGGCCACCTTGGTGGAGTTATTAAGGCAGAGCATGCCACAGTGCTCAATATGTAACACAGGCAGGGCAGCCTGAGCAGCAGGAGCTTTTGCTTCCGAAAATCCCAGGTTCATTAGGGTTCCTGGTAAGGGATACTTCTTTTTCTTTCTTTCTTTTCTTTCTTTCTTTCTTTCTTTCTTTCTTTCTTTCTTTCTTTCTTTCTTTCTTTCTTT